TTAATATTATGGTTATAGGTAGGGTCAATAATAAATCTATATATCTGTTGATAACTATTTAAACCATTTTAACAGATAAATGTCATGAAGGGATAGTTCTTCTTCTTCTTTTTCTTTATCAAAATTAATTAAACCCTTATACTTATCCTTATCTTAACAATAGAATACTTAATAAAACAATAATTTGTTCATTGTAAAAGGAACGGCCAAACGTAACAGTTAAATATTAGGATTGAACATGACGCTCAATAATCACGTCAAACAGATTCTAATGTTTGATGAACATATAAGTTTAATAAACGTTTACGCTTGACAAATAAGTGCGTTCAATAAACGTTTATGTTTAATTATTTACGTTCACAATTAAACAACAATACTTTAATTTTCAAAATAAAGTGCTACATATATTTTATATTATTATTAAATTGCATTTATTTTTATAATTATAATAATTTAAATAAATACTATTGTTAATGTACATTCATACTTTATATTGAAAGCTAGTAAAAAAAAAAATAATAATTAGTATATATAATTCCTCTCCCCTCATAACATGACCAAACCATCTAAGTTTATTTTCTCTCATCTTATTCACTATTGACGCTACACCTCTTATATATTCGTTCCTAATTCTATTTTATATAGTCACTCCATTCATCCATCTAAGCGTTCTCATCTATGTTACACTCATTCTCTGATCATTTCTCTTGTCAACCGCTCAACACACTGAACCATACATCATGGATATCACTACAGTCTTATAAAACTTACTTTTCAGAGTCACTGGAATTCTCCTATTGCATAATAAATCAGACACTTCTATCTACTTAAAACTTTCTATCTCTCCTATTACATCCTTGTTTATTGTCACTAGTCTCCTCATTTCTCTTACTTCATATTCTCCTTTGCCAAACTCGTACTCTATATACTCTGTCTTACTATTTATTTTTAGTCCCTTTCTTTCAATATATGATATCCACACTTCTAGCCTTTGATTAATTTCTTCTCGATTTTATCTATTTAGACTATATTATCAGCGAACAAAATGCTCACAGTACCTCTCCTTATATTTCTTTAGTAATTTCATCCGTCACTATAGAAAATAAGTAAGAACAATAAACAGAATCTTGGTGCACTCCTACTCTTATCCTAAAATTTTCTGTTATTCCGCCAACACTTTTTACTCTGATACGGGTGCCATCATACATATCTATTATATTAATATACATTTCTTTCTAATTGATGCCCACTTTATAACCTTTTGATACTCTATTATATGCTTACTCCAAATCTATAAATACTATACACAGCTTTTTCTTCTTCTATACTTTTCTATTAGTTGTGTCTAGACCAAACTACTATATTAATGTTATATAACTTTGGTAAGTTGAAATACAACATATTGGTTTTTTGTTACTTATTAGTACAAATTAGCTACTTATATTTGTAACCCCTCGTATATTATAGATGTATATTAACTCAAAAATTTGAAAATTTAAAATTTTATATCTATTAAATAAATGAACTTATATTAAAAATTCAAATGCCATTTACTATTAAATTAAAAACTCAAACATTTTATTAAATTTATAATGTGTTCCCATTTAAAAAAAAACAATGTTGACACCATTACAAGGCATAAGGGATGAACTCAAAAAGTATTATACAGCTAATAATACAAGAATAATATGTAACTAAATGTAACCAAAAAAAAAAGTATTTTGATTATTTTTATTCTGAAAGTAATTGATCACTTTGTATTTATATAGCACATTCATATAATATATAGGTTCACAAGTGTATCAGACGTAACTAATAATGCTTATAACTTTTGATACAATTATCCTATTTCTCAAATTTTTTTTTTATATAATGATTGCCTTTTCCAACTATGTTTAAAGTATATTTTTATTATTTATCATTATCATTTTCAATTAAGTCTGAAATAATTATATATATAAAATTATTAATATTTTTAAGTAATAATGTTAATTTCAAATTAAATAGTAAGAAATGTTATATAGTATTAGCGCATATTTTATCTCCATCCTCTAAGCACTTTATAGGATCATTTTATTTAATTTTATTTACATCCTTCTATTTCCTGAACTTAAAATACTATAGAGGGTCGTAATTAACCTTCTTTCACATGTTAGGGAGTCAAAGAAGATTCTTGACTACGCCAATGATTAACGAGACGAGTATTATAGCTGGCTTCCACTAAAGACTAGACACCACTAATGAGAAAATCACAAAAAAAATCTTGTTGCCACCCTTAAGATGGAATCCCGTGTGCCAAAACATATGTTTCTACTTTCTAGGCCAGGCCAATGTCTTCGATCCTCATTTTACTAAATAAATAATGTGAATTTATATCAATACTTTTTAATTAATATTTATTTTTTTAGACCTATTAGATTGAAATTTCTGGACAAGATCAGTGATATATTATCTAAAATAATCAACAATTTCAATGATAATGATAAAGAAGAATTTATTAAAATTTGTTCTCAATATTATGAAAGATTAAGTGTTATAAAAAATGAATTACTGTATGAAATAATTCAACACAAATCAAACAAACAAATCATGCAGAAACTTAATAATTTAAGTGACTATAAAGGTAATATTATTCAATTTTATTTAAAGAAAAACAAGTAGCTTTTGTAGTTATAATTGTTTCTCAATACTCCTAAAAATAATACAAAAATTAACATAACAAGAAAACAATCAATATAAGTACTTTTGTCTAACTGATGAAGGATTTTCCTGATAATTAACTTCATGCAAAATTTTATACTATTGACCTATTTGCTAATTAGTTTACTAATCAAAATTTAAAAATAGTATTATTTTTAATTTTTTGCTATGCCCTGCAAGCAAGCTACTAAGATTCAAACAGGAACGTATTAATTTTTATAAATTTTTTGTTATTTCAGTTCCTCTCTTAGATACCATAAAAGTATTAGAGTACAATTCTCTTACCAAACACCAAGTTCTATGTATAAAAGCTAATCAAGTCATGTTAAAATTATGTTTGTTCGAATGTATGTATTTATTACAGATAATATCTTTTAGTAAAGATAATTAATCTTTCTTGGGTTATCTTTTAATTCTAACAATTTTTTTGTAGATTGTAAAACTAATGATCGAAAAAAAATTTTATTGGAGGAATTATTAAATCACTTTGAAAATATGGAAAATCATATTTTTTCGCAGCCTTATAATTTTTACAAAGTAATATATTATAATATTTTTATCTTTATTAAAACCTAATTGTGTAACAGCTAGGTTTTACAGTAATATTAAATTAACATAAAGTTAAATGAAATATTTGTTATTTGTTAAAAATATGTAAATATACACATTTTATATCATAATAATACAAAATAATACGTTTTTAAAAATAATTGTTTAACATTTTTATAGAGCTATTTATTTATTTTTGCATGCATCAATTTTTTCATTATTATTTGATTAAAAATTGTGAAGGTTTCAAATTTTATTCATGGAGTCTACAGTATAAATAATTTAACTGAAGGAACATTGATTCGAGTAAACAAATTGCTAAAACAACTCGCTAAACATTGGTGCTCTCATAAAGATGGTTTTATAAAAATTGTAGTACTTTTACAAGGCAAGTATAATTAAAAACAATTTATTTGGTTAAGCTTTAGTATAATAAAAATTATTTATTTGTGATTAATATTTAAAAAAGATCGATTAGGTGACAAGGGGATAGGTTCCTAAAAATTAGTGTTGTAGCAAAAATTTTGCTTTTTTGTTATAGTTTTTTTTTTATAGTTTTTCTTTAAAATTACTCTAAAATATGATTAAATCAAATGAAATTTAAATTTTAAAAAAATGGCTAACAAGAAAAAAAATAACATTAACTCCTATTTTACGAGCATAAATTAAAAATAAAATTGTTACAATATTTTTTTGTAAAATTTCTAGTATAGTGATATTTCTTAAAATAATAAAAAAAATTCAATCTATACTTCTAAAAAATAATAAATTAAATTATTCTAAGCTACCAATTTAATAAAAATTTATGAGTAACAATTTAAATTGTATACAAATTTAATCAAAGGTATAATAAAATGTAGTGTTTTCATTATATTTTATTTTCAGATGCTGTTTTTAGAACTAATCAGTTTAAAGAAAATGTAGCTTGTACTAGTAATTTACTTTTACTTATAAAATCATTGCAAAAAGTTACCTTTGGAAAAAAATGTGGACCTACAATGATTTGTACATTTGTAGATTTTTTGGGAAATTTTGCCATTGTAAGTTTATTATTCAGATTTATTTCATAAGTTTAGTTTTTAAAAATAAATTTCATTAGTTAAACAAGTCTCTTATAATACTTTTTCTTTAAATTGATTTAAACACATGTATTCCTCAATGAATGTTTTCATTGAAATAAATAAATCCTTCCTATCTTTCCTAAATAAGATTAATGTTCTGTATCCTTTTAAAAAAGCAAATACAAAATATTAATTTTATTCAGTAGAATATTATTTAATATTTAGGTGTGTTTAGCACTTTTATTCCCTAGATACATATCTTTGTAAATGTATATTAGTATAAATATTATCTATTTGTTGTGTATTGTCTTGTACATTAGTAGTTTTATCTTAATTAGTGTATCCAAATTAATAACTACTCTAATAGTTTTATTTTTATTTATTCAGTCAAGCTATGGATGCTTTGGCACACAATGGTCAACTGTAAATGTTGAATGTTTCAGTCCAGAATCTCTATTGAATTATTTAAGGAGTCCATTTGTTGAAGTATGTAATATTATACAGCTTATAATTGACAGAAAAAAATATATATATACATATTAGTATGGTCTATAAATGATTAACTTAAAAATGTGATTCCAAATATCTGACATTTTGTTCTAAGTTTAAGCATTATACACTAAGCCTTTCAACTGAGTTAGAGGTGTTGAAAACTAAAAAAAAGTGTAGAAGCATTGTTTATTTCATATAATTTGTTATACAGGGTGTAAAATCTTTCGAACCATAGTAATGTATGGGCGAGTATCCTGGTAAAGTGTAAAATAGGACCTCGTTTTTTTTTTTTATTTTCCAAAATTGGAGAAATTTTGGAATAACCCCCCGAATTTCTCTAAAATTAAAAATAAATCATACCACAATATTTCCCGCAAAATTCTCATACAAATTGAATGGTCACTTGATTTTTTGTAATTTTTGCGCCCTCCCCTGAACTTTGGGTTCAAAGTTGGAAAAAATTTCACATTAGTGTGACCCATCAATTTGTATTGAAATTTCACTGGGAGTCCTGTGATGTAGTTTATTTTTAGTATAAACGACTAAATAACAAGAAAAACCGAAAAAACCTACAAATAATGTAATATTTATGCATTTTTATTGCACAAAAAAAGAAGCTATATTTTAAAGGTTATCTAATATTATGTGCAACTTAATAAGTGACTATTCAATAGTGAACAGTATTTTTCGAACATTTAAATAAACATTAACAAGCTCAGTGATGTACCATATTTTCATTATTGATTAATTTCGGAAAAGAGTAGTGGCTGATTACATTAAAATAATTATTTCTAATTATCCTATTGTAATAAAGTTAAAAATATTCATTTCAATATTATAATTTTTTTATTTCCCCGACCTAAAAAGAAAAAAATTTATAATTTTATAACAGTNTTTTTATTTCCCCGACCTAAAAAGAAAAAAATTTATAATTTTATAACAGTTTCAATGATAAATAAAAACGGTAGCACAGTGGGGTCGCGGCATAGTGGAGACATTGCATAGTTGGGTCCAGTATAGATTTAATCTGACAGTGATTAAAATCACTATCATAAGAAACGCTTCGATGCAAATCTGTAGATAGTGTTTAATTTTAAAAAATTGATGGATAATTGCAAAAGCAACATCAACTTCTATTAAAATAAAATACAAAACCCATAATTATCATACAAAAATAGTATATTTTTCAATATGGTAGCCATTTGCGTATAGAAGATAGATCGTCGGGACAAATTTTTTTTTTTCATTTTGTAGTACATAAAATAAGCTTTAATTTTATATATGTTTAAAGGACGCAGTATTTCCGGAACATTTTCAAAAATTAAGTTGAAAAAGTTATTTTTTGTAAAAAAGTTACTATTTTAAATCCTCCCAGTGAGCAGAATAAGTGTTAGATTTTCAAAAAAAATTATATCAAATGAAAGGGAAATATCTAAGGTTTCAATACAAAAAAATATTATTTTTATTTGTTCATTTTTGAAAAAGTTATGGCAGTTTTAAGTACAAAAAACATCCCGATAAAATGTAATTTTTATCGCAAACATTACATTTTTTTTTAAATTTTCGACAGCCATTTGCACATAGAAGATAAGATGTCGGGACAAATTTTTTTTTTTCATTTGATAGTATATAACATAACCTTTGATTTGATATATGTTTAAAGGACGCAGTATTTCCGGAACATTTTCAAAAGTTCAGTTGAAAAAGATCTATGTTTTTTACAATATTTTAAGTTTTGAACGCCCCCTATATAAGGGGAAATTGTCCAATTTTAATAAAAAGTATGTCAAATGAAAGATGTACTTATAATGTATTTAGAAAAAAAAAATTTGTGCTGATATATACATTTTTCAAAAAGTTATAGCATTTTTAAGTTGAAAATTTAAAATCGAAAATCGAAAATTTTAACACAAAAATAGTGTTTTTTTAACTACGGCAGCCGTTTAAATGTAGAAAAAAAAGTGTCGGGACAAATTTTTTTTTTTCATTTTGTAGTACATAAAATAAGCTTTAATTTGATATATGTTTAAAGGACGCAGTCTTTCCGGAACATTTTCAAAAATTAAGTTGAAAAAATTAATTTTTGTAAAAAAGTTGCCATTTTAAATCCCCCCCAATGAGCAGGTTAAGTGATAGATTTTCAAAAAAATGATATCAAATGAAAGGTAAATATCTAAGGTTTTAGTATAAAAAAAAATTATGTTGATTTGTTGATTTTTCAAAAAGTTATGGAAGTTTTAAGAAAAAAAAGTGAAAAAATTTCGAAAATTAGCGATTTTTAAATTTGTAATTTTTTTGGATATTTCCCCCATTTGCGGGGAACGAGGGAATTTTTTTCAATTTTTAAGGGTAATGTCTTCAACTAGATACGATTTGTGATCTTTTGACGTATTTTTGAAAGAAATCGGTCCAGTGAGAGCTGAGAAAAAGTGGCAACAGACACAAAAAAAAAAAAAAAAACACATCATAGTAAAATTAATACCTTCTCCTCTTCGCTTCGAAGCTAAAATTATAATCGGTTTGAATAAATAATAAAAGACGAAATAAACTCATGAAATTAAAAAAATATCACATTATTTGTGGGTTTTTCGGTCTTTCTTGTTATTTAATCGATTAAACTAAAAATAAACTACATCATAGGACTCCCAGTGAAATTTCAATACAAATTGATGGGTCACACTAATGTGAAATTTTTTTCCAATTTTGAACCCAAAGTTTANTCAATACAAATTGATGGGTCACACTAATGTGAAATTTTTTTCCAATTTTGAACCCAAAGTTTAGGGGAGGGCGCAAAAATTACAAAAAATCAAGTGACCATTCAATTTGTATGAGAATTTTGCGGGAAATATTGTGGTATGATTTATTTTTAATTCTAGAGAAATTCGGGGGGTTATTCCAAAATTTCTCCAATTTTGGAAAAAAAAAAAAAAAAAACGAGGTCCTATTTTACACTTTACCAGGATACTCGCCCATACATTATTATGGTTCGAAAGATTTACATGCTGTATAGTATTCAGTAAGTAAGGAAACGAGTTTCTTTTGTTCTCATTGTTTATAACAATTGTTATGTTTCCTTACTTACTGAACACTCTGTATATTATAGCTATAAAAAAAATTATTTTTAATTTGGAAGAAAATTAGATTTATGAAAAGTTGTTATACATATAATTTAATTATAGCATTGATCACTTAAATAATATCATGTTCTCATATCACTGAATACAATATCAAGACAGCTGATGTGAGTGTAGAGGATGTGGAAGGTCATATCAAGTGGAAGTTTAGAATAAGAGTAGCTGACCCCAGGTAGTTGGGATTAAGGTGAGGAGGAAGAAGAAGAAGATTGATCCCTTATAAGAAAAAATTACTCTTAATATATCTTAAGTTAATATACATGTATAATACACTAGGGATTACAAATACAGGTAGCAAATTGGTTTTTTATGACATTGCTGTCTCAGTCACGGATTTTTTATTATCAATTATGATTATCAATAGATATTCTTTCTGTATTGTCAGTTAGTGTATTTATTAACTCACAACAATGTGCCTTACTACCATTGATAATAACAATGCTGTGTACCTGCTAATATCAATGTCATAAAAATCCAATTAGCTACCTGTATTTGTAATATCTAGTGTATTATACGTGTATATTAACTCAAAAATTTGAAACTTTAAATGTTTATATCTAATAAACGAATAAAGATATATTAAAAATTCAAATGCCATTTACTATTAAATTAAAAACTCAAACATTTTATTAAATTCAAAATATGTGTTCTCATTTAAAAAACTCAAGTTAATGTTTTTTAACCTTGAAAGGATAAAAAATATCATGTTTTTACTACATATTATTGAAGTGTTTTTTGAATCAAACAACATTTTCCTTACCAAAAATTTATAATTTTCAATAGTTATTAAGTAAACGAGGGTCTTATCCTTAATGAATAACCCTGTATATATAAACAATGTCCCCATGTTCTAATATTTTTAATAACTTTTGATTCAGTGAATGAATATTCTGAAAGTAGTTGATTATGTTATGATAAAAAAATCACTTTGTATTTATATATTACCAAAAATTAAAAATTTTCAATAGTTACTGAGTAAACGAGTATCTTATATCCTTAATGAATCACCCTGTATATATGCGCATGTGTGTGTGTTTACACATAATTATTTCATATAAATTAATACTTATTTATTTATTTAGGTTAGGATTGCTGTTGTAAAATATTTGTATATTATATGTGATGTTTATGAAAAAAATCCTAATGCTTATAGCATAAGTTATAAAGAAATGATTAATATTGTATTAAACAATATCCATGAAGGATTCACAGTAAATGTAATATAACAGCCATTAAATATACCTACTATTATTTTTAAATTGCAATTAATTTGAAATCAATCAACTTTTAGTCTGATATTTCTGAAGAAGAACAGGAAGATGAGCGTTTAAATAGGACTTCAACATACATGCTTTGTATGCAAGCATTAATTTTAACTAGCAATACATTTAGAAAAGAATGTTTGTTTGAATTACTTTACACTGTCAACAAAAAAAATCTTGATATAAGTATATATTTTATTTATTTATTATCTTAGTGTCGCTCAAAATTGGTGTTCGTTAAAATAAATTATCTTTAAAAAAAATTGAAATTTTTTAATGATATATTATATTTTTTCAATTAAATAAATAATCAATAAAAATACTGAACATTTTTATTGATGATTTATTACCAGGGTTCGGGACATATAGCACTTAAAATCATCAAAAAAAGCACTATAAAACATAAAAAAAAAGCACTCAAATAAGCATTTATAAATAAAAAAAATTAATTAAAAAATCCCCAAAAATTTCTTAATTTTCTTTTAAATAATAAAGTACTAAATATTTGTAACTGTGCTGAATATACTTTTTTAGGACTTTAGGATTAAATACCATTAAAATGAAATTATTTCATTGAAAAAAAATACAGGTATTTAATTTATTTATTCTTTTAATTATTAATTAAAATAAAAAAAAAAAAGAATATATACAAAAAATTAATTCTGAAAGAATCAAAATGATGTCTGACTTTGACTTTCAAGTTGAATGACAAGAAATGTTAAATAATATCTTGTTTATGGATTTTTTGAAAAATTAAATATAAATTTGTGTTGATATCCCAGTATGCCATAGCGGTCTAAAAATATTGTTTAACGAGAAATCCATTATAAAAAGGAAATCAACCAAGTACCACACTAGTATGACACTTCAACCATAGCTAAAGAAGTTAACGATGCCGAGGACGGCGTTGACTATCAAATAGATAAGATAACAAAGACAAAACCCTACAAACAAGGAAGGGGATTGAATTATTTTCCTTATTAGATCTATCAAAAACCGATAAAAAAAACCTGGGTAGGCGCGTCATAAAGAAAATATTTTAATGTACAAAAACAGAAAAAACAAGAAACAAGTATTTGTTTTTTATTAAATCATCAAAAAAACTGAAAATAAGCGATTTTGAAAAAATTATCAAAAATAGCAAAAAAAGCATTTTCTAGCAAATGCTATAAGTCCTGAGCCCTGTTTATTACACTTAATGAAAATACAAAAAATATATATATATTTGAAGCTGTTCGTAACAGAAAATTTCTTGTTTGTTGAATTATTTTCCTAGAGAACTTGTATACCTTTAAAAATTATATATAAATTCCAATGCCCCAGCTCAGAATTGTAACAACTTAAAAAAACAAATTTTTCAAAAAAATTTTAATACGATTTTCTTTTATGGAAAATTATAATTTCAATATGCCTGTTTTGGAAAATATCTTATCTATATTGATAAGATATATGTATAGAAAGTCAACTATAAAGCCAGTTTTTATATGAGAAAACTAATAGAAAAGTATAGAGTAAAAGTGTGTATTGTATTTTTAGATTTGGAGAAAACTGTAAGAACAGTTATGATAATAAATGTTAAAGAAAGAAGATGAAAGAAAAAATAGATGGAGTTGTGTTATTGAATACAATATGAGGATGGCTAATGTGAGAGATTGTGTCAAATTGAAGTTTAGGATAAGGGTGTCTGTCTCTTAGTAGTTAGGATAAAGGCAAGGAAAAAGAAAAAGAAGAACTTATTTGTATTGAATTGGGCTTATAAACTTTTTATATTAATAATAAACAACAACTTCGAGTTCAATACTAAAAAAATCTTGATTTTTGAATTGTTGCAATTTTTACCTGGGTTGTCAATATGTGTTTTTCTCCTATTTTAGATATTTTCTCTATTTTAAGTGTTGATGATTTTTTTTCAGATTTGTTGTATAATTTACTTGATGGTATTACTACTGAGTTCAATTTAAATTCTTATATAACTTTATTAGAAGATTATTTGAGCTATTTGTTATGGAAATGGAATTCAACATTTACTAGCCTTAATGTAATTTTAATACTCATAGATTAGTTTATAATTTTTGATAATCTGTGTACATTTTTAGGAATTTCCATTCAAAATATTTGCTTGCAATACTTTAGAAATTTTTTACTATAAATACATTTCTAAAGTTTTACCTATTTTTATTGTTAGTAATAATATTGATTCAATTAAAAAATTTAAAAACATAAATCAAATTTTAAAGGTATGAAACAAAATGATAGATTTAATAATTTGCAGCATGTATTTCTTAGGATTTATTTATTTTTAGGAATACTTTGCTCAAATCTACACTTCATTAATGATTGTTAAATCAAAAAGTGATAGCAGTAATTGTACAGAAACAGAAAGTTTTATTGAAAATGTTCTGGGACAAGTAACATTTAATGATCTCATCAAGTCATCGTTTACAAATATTTTACTACAATGTACTCAAATGATTGATATTGAAGAGCATACTGATTATCCAATTGAAATAAATAGAAAACAATTTTTAAAAATAATTAATATTTTTCAAGTATACATATATTATTCACCTATAAGCATTAAAAAGATTGAGTTTTTTTTCTCTCATAAAATTATATTGTACTCATTAACTTGGATAATGCCAGAAGTGACTGGGGAATATCTTTGAATTTGTAAACTTTAAGTACTTAGTTCATGTACTACATAGACATAGCAATAAATATTTTATTAAGTTTTTGTCGGATGGAAGGAGAGCAAGAAATAATTTCCCCAAAGAAGTATTATAATTTGCTAGTTTGAGAATCATTTTACTGTATCATGTTAATTATATAAATTGTGGGATTTTTTTTCTTAAAATTATTATTTAATTATATATTGTTTCAGAACCCTAGTAAATTTATATTTTCTGGGGGATTTTTAACTAAACCTCATGTAAATTTTTCAAAAATTTTACAGAAATTATTTTTATACGTTGTTTGACTTTTTACATTGTTACTAATTAATGGAAATTATATAGAGTTCAATAGATATTGTATGGAGGATAAGGCTCATTTCAATGTAATAAAAGTGAAAAAATAGGGTTTATTAATAATTTGTATAATATTTTCTGTCATATTTTAATCAATGTTATTAAAACTTAAATAGCAGTGTGTTACGAGTACTCACATATGAAGTAAAATTTTTTCAAAGTCACTCAACTAATAGAATATTAGGTTTATATTGAAATAAATTAAAAAAATACATCTAATAATTTTATTTTCAACTAAAATTAATCTAATTTAATACTAATTTTCTTATTCTCTTGTCACCAAAGATATAATAGGTCATTGATAATTGAAATATCTAATTTAAGTTTTTGATTAGAAATTATAGAGATATTGTGTAAAGATTGCATCTATTATGTTATTTTTAATTTTTTTATGCACAATTAAAATTATTTAATAAATTTTAAATAACATTAGTTTAATTTTCAAAAATACAGAGCTAAATCATATTATAAAATATAATTAATTACTTACTACTATTATTTATTTATAAAAGTATATATTGATAATATTTATTTTTATTTAGATTGATATATATTTATGTTTAAATTTATAATTATTACATTTATTAATTCATATAAATTATTCATTGAATGCGATATGATGATGGCTGATGTGTGTGTAGATGATTTTAAAAATCATGTTAAGTGGAAATTAAGGATATTGGTGGCCAACCTCAAGTAGTTGAGATAAAGGCAAGTATAAAGATGAAGAAAAAGCTATGAATAAATGTAATACCTATAAATTTAATTAATTATATATATTATTTATTTAATTATAAAAATAATAAATAAAAAATATATTCTATATTTATTTATATATAACATAAAATAATTAATTTAATTTAATCATTATTTTATTAATTATTTACTATTGACAATTCACTTATTTCATTAATAATAAAAATAAATAACAAACAATTGTGAATAATATAAGTAATAAATTATATTTTATAGTACCATTTAATTATATTTATACTAATTAAAATATAAATAAATATGTGTATTTATTTATATTAATTATGTATATTTATTTATTTGAATTTTATTTATTTACTAGCTTTCAGTACAAAGTATTAATGTATATTAACAATATAATGTTTATTTTAATTATTATAATTATAAAAATAAATGCAATTTAATTATAATATAAAATATATGTAGCACTTTATTTTCGAAATTTAAGTATTGTTATTTAAAATGCATTAATTAATTTAAAAAGTAGGCAATTGTGAATTTTTTTCCTTAGGATTTGAGTTATTAAATTATTTATATAATTTTGTGAATTATTTAAAATAGAAAATTCAATGAATTATTAACGGACAAAATTCTATTGTTCTATTAGGTATACAGTAAACATTTTATTATTTAATGAATAATAGGCTTTTGTCTGTATATTTAATAAAACAATAAAGTCCATCCGTTACTACCGACCATGATGCATGATAACTTGAGGAACCTTTGTAAAGAAGTTTTACTTTAATAAATACTCAAATAAATTTTTTTCAATAAAACCTTAAAATTCCAAACCCACCAAATATAAAAATACAATTTTTATGTCCAATTTTTACCCATTATAATAAGAGTGAAGTAGGAAATAATATATTATTTTGTTCAAAAAATAAGGAAATTTGATTCTATTGTTCTTATTGTTTGTAACAATTGATTTGTTTCTATACTTACAGAACACTCTATATCAATATTAAAACTAAATATATTATATTCCTATTAATCTAAAATATTTTTATTTTATATAGTCAAATGTTTGTAATAAATTTGATATTTGTAATTTTGTATTTGAATTTAATGTATTTTGAATTTGTAATAATTTTAGGAAAATCTTATAAAAAGTAAAGTGTCATTGCTCATAATTATGTCAAAAAAACAACCAAATTCAATTCAAAATATTGTTCATACATTATATGTAAATATTTTCAAAAGGACTACCATAGATTTAAAGTAATATTATTATTTTTAAATATTTAAGGTCATCATTTTCAAAGCTAATTATGTACTAAATAATTTAAATCAACATTATAAGATTTTTTTATAATGTATATTTTTTATTTTGTCAGTATTCTAATTATTTAAATGCTAATTGTGTATTTATTGTGTGGTTTTATTTCCAAAATTTATTGTCTTATTTCAAATTAAGTAGTAAAATCTTAATATTAATTTGAATTTTTTGGTACATAATTAGTTTTGGAAATTAAATTCAATATTCTTATTTAATTAATTTTTTCCAGATGTCAGGTTTTTTTTCAATATACAATATTTATGAAAATTCTTATAGACGAGCTTATAAATGATATTAGGTTAAATGACTTTACATTTTTTCTTGTAAATCAGTCAGTTCATGCTGTAGTAATATTATTAAATCAAAAAAATTCAGAAATTAAGTATCATGCTTTTGAATATTTAGAATGGCTTCTTATTAATCTAAAAAATAATTTATTTTTAAATAAAAATTTATCTCATTTATATAAACTTATATTAAATGTTGTAAAACATTCTTTAAAAGAACCTTCACCTATTGATAAATTTGCTCACAAAATATTATCTGCCCTTCAAGAGTTTTATAATATTAGTTCAAGTTTGATTAATACTAAGACTTTAAACAAGTCTTCTTTGGATAAATTAATTATGGATTTTCTTTCGGAACAAACTGAAATTGATGATCCTATTCAAAGTTTAAAACAGCTGAAATATAAAGTAAATAATATAAACTATTATTAGTTTCAAAATCAATCATTGTATTTGATAGAATAATACATTTATTTTTACTTTAAAATTTTAGCTTAAAACATCAGAAGATCAGTTGCAAATCATTTATAAAGAATTTCTTACCAAACGGGGATTTTCAGAAGACTGTGCTAAAAGTGTTTTACATCGTCTAATTGTTTTACTTATAAGACTTTCCTGGTTAAAAGATCATGAAGTAATTTAATTTTTATTTATAAATAAATAAGCCAAGATTATATTTTACAAGACAAATTAGTTATGTTTAATTAATGAAATTAATAGGAATGAATAGTAAAAACATGAACTTTTCATTTAAAGTTGTCAATAGAAAACTTTTTTTTTATTATAAAATTATAAGGTAGACCTAAAATTTGTTTTTTCTAAAATATTAACTCAGTAATTATTCCTCAAATTGTTATCAACTCATTAATAATAAGTTTTATAAGAAAATCTATTTTAGAAAAAAATTTGATTTTAGTGTAATCTAAGAATACATAAATTATTTAAAAAAAAACTAAAATAGAATGTTAATTGTATTAAAAGATGTGCGAGTTGACAGTTAAATTTGTTTCTTCTCATATAAATTGCTAGTTAAATTATATTTCAGAAATTAAAAATAAATTTTAGTAATTCAATTTTAATTTTTAATATATTTTTTTTAGGTTAAGATTTTATCAGCAAGCTGCCTTGGAATATTAGGACCCTTGGATCTAAAAACCCTTATATTGCAACCTGAACCTGAAATAATAAAGCTTACCCTAGACATATCTCCAGAATATTCTTTTTTAAAACATACTGTTGAACTATTATTAAATTATATAAGTGATAGTAATGTATCAGTGATGGAAGCGAGTAATAAAGCAATGTTTGAAATTATGTCTTCACAAATAGGAACTTCATTAAATAGTTAAGTAATAAAATTTTTTAATAATGTTTTTTTTTATAATTTTTAATAAATTATTTTAGAAGATTTTGATTCAAGTAGTGTGTATCCATACAAATTTAACCAATTTAAAGGACAAGCATTAACTTGTTTGAATTTTACTGAATTTAAAGAAAAAGTAGATAGAAATGATTTATGGTGTCCTAAAATTACCATTTCTACTTCCTATGAAGTTTGGATTACATGTTTAACTAAAACTCTTCTTTCAACTCTTCAGGGATATTGTCAAAGTTTACTTCTTATAGCAGAACATAAAGTAATTGATTATCTAGTTAATTAAAATTATAGAAAAAAAAAAAGAGTATTAGTTTGTCCATACTTATTTAATGACTTGTTCTCAAAATTTCAATATCTTCCACACAATCTTCAAAACAAAAAAAGTGGTCTTATATCTTATAAATATAGTCTCAAAATCCTCCACTTGATATTTTGAAATGGTAATAACTTTCAAAATAATGGGTAAAAAGTTATTATCTATCAATCATTATTTAATTAAATAATGTCCTATTTAATAAACTAGTTACTAGTTTATTAGATGGCAACATATATATTTAATTGTTAAATATGTATATGCCTTTTCAAAAAAACCCAGCACATGGGGGTCGCGGCACAGTCGTGACGTGGTATAGATGGATCAAGTATAATGATATCTGACAGTGATTAAAATCACTATAAAAAAAAAACGCTTCGATGCAAATCTTTAGATACAGTTTAATTTTAAAAAATTGGTGGACTATTCCAAAAGCTACATGATCTGCTAGTTCATTATTAATATCCTAATTAAGATAAAATATGTAGAATGAAAAAGGGATTATTAGAAAATATTATTTCTCATAAAAAAATAATGTTGATCCATACACTTTTCAATATGTCATAGCATTATAAAGTTAAAAATGTAAAAAATAAAATCGAGAATTTTCACACAATAATAGCATTTGGTAGCCATTTTCACCGTGAAAACAAAATAAAGTCCGAAATTTTTTTTTTACATAATAAAGTACATTACATTAGCTTTAATTTAAGATATATGTAAAAGTGTCAGACTTTCCGGAACACTTTCAAAATTTAAGTTGAAAAAGTAAATTTTTTGTGAAAAAGTTGTCATTTTGAATTCCCTCTGTAGGTANAAAGTTGTCATTTTGAATCCCCCCCTGTAGGCAGGTAAAAAGTCAGATTTATAAAAAAAATATACCAAATGATAGGTAAAGACATCATGCATCTATAAAAAAAAAAATTATATTGATCCATACATCTTACAAAANAAAAAAAAGAATTATATTGATCCATACATCTTACAAAAAGTTATAGCATTATAAAGTTAAAAATATAAAAAAGAATTTTTTTACAAAAATCGTATTTCTTTTATTAAGTTAAATGTCTGTTTTCACCATGAAGATAAAATAAAGTCCGAAATTTTTTTTTACCATTATAAAGTATATTACATTAGCTTTAATTTAAGATATATATAAAAGTGTCAGACCTTCCGGAACACTTTCAAAAGTTAAGTTGAAAAAGTTCTACTTTCTACATGCATTTTTTAGATTTGAACCCCCCCCCGTATATAGGGAAATGGTCGGATTTAAAAAAACAGTATGTCAAATGAAAGATGTATATAAATACTACTCCTCATGAAAAAATTGTACTGATCCATACATTTTTCAAAAAGTTATAGCATAATAAAGTTAAAAATGTAAAATACAAAATCGAAAATTTTCACACAAAAATAGCATTCGGTAGCCATTTTCACCGTGAAGATAAAATAAAGTCCGAAATTTTTTTTTTGCATAATAAAGAATATTACATTAGCTTTAATTTAAGATATATATAAAAGTGTCAGACCTTCCGGAACATTTTCAAAAGTTAAGTTGAAAAAGTTAATTTTTTGTGAAAAAGTTGTCATTTTAAATCCCCCCCTGTGGGCAGGTTAAGGGTTAAATTTATGAAAAAAATATACCAAATGAAAGGTAATGATATTATTCATCTATACAAAAAAGAATTATATTGATATGTTCATTTTTGAAAAAGTTATGGCACTTTTAAGTAAAAAAAATTGAAAAAATTTCGAAAATTAGCGATTTTTAAATTTGTAATTTTTTTGGAGGTTTCCCCCATTTACGGGGAACGAGGGCATTTTTTTCAATTTTTGAGGGTAATGTCTTCGACTAGATACAATTTGTGATCTTTTGACGTATCATTGAAAGAAATTGGTTCGGTGAGAGTTGAGAAAAAGTGTTAACAGAAAAAAAAAAAAAAAAAAAAAAAACACATCTTAGTAAAACCAATACCTTTTCAGCTTCGCATCGAAGCTAAAAAAGTTAATACCCATATAAGTTATAAGGAATGGAGATAAAAAGTAGTTAATAATTAAAAAATCAAGAAATATATGAAACTTAAAAAATGACAAATAATTTTACTAATATAATTATTATTACAAGAGAAATCGCGTGGCTAAGGTTAAAAAAGTCATTGTATATTTTCATAAATTATTATTAAAAATTAAAAGTTCTAATCAGTTTTTTAAATTTTATTTGCTATGAAATACTTCATATAGGCATACTATATTTATAAATTATAAAAAAGATAAAGGAAGTAAATATATATTGACTATTGTTAATTTTAATAAAGAAAAAAAATTATTCACCTATTTATTTATTAGTTTGCTATTACTTTCTTAATCATTTTAGATAAATAAAATTTACTTTATTTTTTAAGTATAAAAGGAGAAAATTGTTGTCAAATTTATTAGTGTTACTAAAAATATTTTTCATATTTCACTATAAATTGAAGGTTGCTCCTTACGTAAAAATCTTGGATATGCTATTACAGAAGTACACTCATACACACATTACAAAATAAATTACTATCCTTCATTCTTTATGCATTTTAATTAATATAATTAGTAATATTTATATATTTTATTTATTTCAGCCATTATTTTGTGAGCAAATTATACCACATCTAATTTTCTTTATTTTAAAAGATAATAGTAACACTCAAGATATTTTTGTAAATCAAATAAATAATTTCTTTTTGAAACATAGTGAAATGATAAAAATGACAGTTGATGGCCTTAAAAATAGTGTTAATGGTAATTATAATAAATCTTTCAATTATTTTTTTTCTATATAAATGAAAATTATTCAATAAATTTTTTGATGCCTATTTATATTTGATCTAAGTTTATTCACAGATGTATAATTTAATTATTTCCTTTAGAAAATTGTTATGATAATAATATTTATCGAAATAGATCAGCTGTTCAATGTCTTCTTAATATTATTAATTTTGTTAGACTTCAACAAAAAGGTCCTATTCAGTAAGTTAAAAATATGTATTTTATTTCAATTGACAATAGATACAATACCGTGTTTCTCTCAGACATACATTTTATCAACCTATAATAAAGTGTATTAGAATCTAAATCATAATTGCATGATGGCCTAGTGATACGGTTTGTCTCTACAACGCTTTGGGTTCTTATCCCTTACCGTACCTCTTTTTCACACAATTTCCAGTACACTTTTTATGACTGTCCAACAAAAATCAACGGCCGTGGTACAATTATGATTCACAATTTATTTTTATTTAATTACAATCTTTTTTTTAGACATTTATTACCTGTTGACTATTTATATATAGCCCAAGCAGCTCAATTTTGTTCAGCATTCTTTACATCTATAATGTACTTAGAATTTTGGTGTGAAATGGAATTTAGGTATTTAAGAAATTTCTTTTGTATTATTATTAGATAGTAATAAAAGTTCTATTTCATTTCATTAAAGAGAACTTTTTTTAATTAATGTTAAAAATGTATTTAGTCACATATATAAGGTGATCCAAATTTGTTAAGACATTCATTTTCCTAGGAATCATTGAGAATCTAAAATTTTAATAAAAAAAATATATTAGGTTTAAAAAAACTACAATAACATGCAATTAAAATTATCTTTTATTTTCATCCCTTCGGTGTTAAAAAAACCTTAAATTTAATCTTCTTAAATTATAACCCCAATTTTAACTTGTTGTTATGATAGATAAAAAAAAATAACAATTTTGCTCTTAAATTATTTATTTTTAAATGTTTTTAAAACTTCTAAATAGCCAATTTTTAACAATTTTCTTACAGACAATTTTAATGGGTCAATTATAATTTTAAGATAACATATTGAGATAGTAGTATATGTTTAAATTGGTTATGCAGATCAGGCTCATATTATTGTATATTTATAATGCATACTCTACTCGCATTACATAACAAAGCTTTTAAAGTGTAATATAAAAAAAAAAAATTTTGCCTGATAATTGTTCCTCTATAAGAATATTTTTGATATCAAAGTAAAAAAATTTAAATTTTTTCAAAAGAAAGTACTTTGTTTTCAATTAATATAATTTAACAAATAAAAATTGTAAAAATATAAATATACAAATTCTTTTGAAATTTTAATATATTCGCATTAAAGTGTTTTTTTATGGTAGTATTCATAAAAACAGTCAACAGTTACTGAGAAAATGAGTGTCTTGTCAGATTAGTATAATTCTGTATGAAATTCAATATTTTTCTAAATACTTAGGCAACTATTTTTGGTTTTAATATGTGCTTAAATCTATCTGTCATATACTCCTTTCATTACACTTTTGACTATAATTGCAATGCCTCTTTTTAAAATAGTCTATAGATATTTAGAATAATATTTCTAAACACTTTTACTTTTAGAATAAAACTTAATATACCTTAAAAATCTTATAAAAAATTTTTTTCTATTTATTTTATTTAATTTAGAAAGAATAACATTGATCGATGGACTATGTCATTTAACCCTGTGGATGTAATATCTGAAATTTTACCCAAGGATATTAGTCTTTTACTACAATATATCCTTAATAAAGTGAGTTTTAAATAAAAAATAAAAAAATTGATCTTATTTTATATTACTTTTCTTGTTTTATCTTTGTATATGTGATGAATTTAATTGTTAAAATATTTGGCAAATAATATTGAAAATCAAGTGTTATGATAATTATTTTGTTTTAAAACTACTTCTCATTTTCATTAAATTTTACATTATGTATAATGATCATTTTTACATCATTCTATTTCCCGAATTTAACATGCTACAAAGGGTGTAACCCTCTGTAACATGTTAGGGATCAAGATGCTACCTGGCTAGGCCAATGATGGATGGGACAGGTATTATGACCAGCTTATACCAGACACCACTAATAAGAGAATCATAAGAAAAATCTTGTTGGAATCGGGACCCAATGCACCGAAATATATGTGTCTACTCACTAGGCCAAGCTGACCCCTATTAAATTTTATATTACGTAATAATATAAATAATTATTTTTTCCCAGGCTTATAAAAATATTGGAGATTTTGATGCTATTGAAGGATGTGGTTCGTCTCATCTTTTAACAGTTCCATCACGTTCAAATTACTATCAAATACTTGGAAAATGGGATCATGTTATGGAAAATTGTGACCTACAGTTAAATAAAAATACAGTTGATAAAGGTTTGTTATATAATTTTAATAAAAATGTTACCTAAGTTAAATATTTTATTTTGGTATTAATATCGGAAATACATTTAAATATTTTGTACCCTTTAAGTAATTATATTTTTACTATTAGTATGGTGTTTCAATTTACAACTAATTGCGAAAAGTAACAACTGTTATCCCAAATGAGACTTTATAATAATACAAATAATAATGAATGACAAATATGTTATGATTCTTAAATTTTATCATAATTTTATACTCAGGTATAAAGATCTGTACAACTTAAGAACATTAGTATATAAAAATTTGTCAAGGTTACACATTTCCTCTATTCTACACTGATGAAGAAGTATTTAGCAATGATCTTTACTAAACAACCAATTAAAGTATGATCATTTACCAGATAGGTCAAGATATTTAAATTCCAATAATTAGAATACTCATATATTCTATTGTTAAGTTATACAGAATGTAGTTTTGTTTTATTTTTTATTAGACTTTATTTTATCAGTTATTATAATATTTACTTATAAACTAATTATATATTTTTATGATTATAGATTACTTAAATGCTCTTGCCTATTCTGGATTGCCAAATATTGCACATATTTTAAGTATACATAGTGATAATCCCAATTATGATTATTGCTGGCAACTTGGTAAATGGGATTTACCATACAAAGGGGAAAAATCATTTGAAGCATTACATTATCATGCAATGCGATGTATTCATCAGAAAAATCATCAAGGTACGATTCTTTTTTTAAATGAAGCACGATTAGCAGTATTAGAGTCATTTTCTTGCACCAGTTTAGAATCAACAGCAATTGTTTATACACCTCTAACTAAATTAAAAATGCTTGAAGTAAGTAAACATTAAAATTAGACATTATAAAATAAGAGAAAGGTTTAGTAATTAAAATTTTTATTTTCTTATTCAAACAGAATATTTATTAGCATAAATATTTTTAAAACAGTTAATTATTATTTGGTCTGTCTTTATTATAAATATTTAGGATTTAGAAGACTTTATTACCATAGTAGATAAAAATGCTCTATTGAAAAATTGGCTTGATCAAACTTCAATAAAAACGAATGACTTTGTAAACTATAATCTAATTCTTACCCAACGTTCTATTTTATTGGATCTAAATGCTGAAGAAACAGCTGGAATATTGAGATTAAATATAGCAGAACTTGCCCGAGAAGATAATAAACTTCAAAAAGCTGGAAATATATGTACTATTGTATCTTTGAGAAACTATAATAATCATACTACTTTATGGGCTAAACTTGAGGAAGCTCGTTTACTATGGCAAAGAAAAGATCGCCACATTGCACGGTAAAATAAAAAAATTATTAAGAATTAATAAATTAATTTCTAATATATTAAATGCATAATTTTATAAAAATTTGTTTTAAATATATTATTTATAAATTAATAAAGTAAAAAGATAACTTTTGAATCACTTAGTAGTTGCTTTTAAAACCTATAATACATAAGAGATAATAGTTTAAATAAAGTTCTTCTTTATTTAAACTGAAAAAGACTGAAAAAAAAGGAGAAAGACTGAATACATTTTGATATTTAGAATAATATTTCT